AAAAAACACAAAAGCAAGAATTTTTACACCGCTAGGTTCCTGAGCTTAAACCCTGCGGAAAACAATCACTTCCGAACCGTATGAATCAGCGAACCTTGCATGTTGTTTTAGAAAGACGTTCGACCAAAACAGCCTGGTTTTGCAAATGCGACGGTGAATAGCAAACACATAGGAGGAAATATAGTGACAATAGCTCCACAAAAAAATTGGGCACATCGAAATGCGGAAGTGGCGGCGAATGCGACAGGAGCATACCTGTTAAGGGTAGGGCCTGAGAACAGGTTGAAAATCGGATGCAATGCAATTACAACAATGGAAGTGAATAGGGACAGCTTGCCGAAAATAATACAAGCAACATATCCTGCAAACTGGCCAGATAAGATTGTAGACAACACATTAAAGGGAACAATGGTCTTCGTAACAAACTCAACTTAGTGGACAACCTTGTCAGACAGCTACGCGTGACTAATTTCTTAGAAACGGAGCGCTCCCCAGAAAGGCATTTAAAAAATTCCAAAAAACTCTTTGATAATATTGGTGCGGTTATATATCGGTAGTTTAGCGCGGACGAGAAGACAGCGGGGTTATCACTTGGAAAAGATACCTGAGATTGTTTAAACTTGCATGCCATAAAACATACTACATCATAATTTGTAATATTATTTTTCCAATTGTCCCGCAAAGCGCCGCTAAGCACCGGCGTTTTTGTTGTTATGCTATTGCATCCACTGGGAGTTCAAAGGCGTTTGCCTACCTTTCTTGTTATAAAATAGGACTTAATTTCTCCTGGAGTTTTACATCTACTATAAACACATTTCCATTAAGTACATCCATGAAGACGACATAAGCCGAAACAGGGAATTCGTTGGCTAAGTACATCTCCAGATAAATGCTTGTAGCAACGTTTATATGAAACACACCCGAATGTGTGGTATAAGTTCCCCACGATCGTAATGTCTTGAAAAAATACCCGTTACTGTCTTAAAACACTTTCCGCAGATCCATGTGAACTTTCTTTCAGCATAATCCCAAAGTACTCCCTCTTGATAGTACTATCTCTGGCGTTTAGTTCACTACACTTTGTTGTGATTTGTATCCGTATGGGATAAATTCATGCGCATGTACGTGCTGTTCAGCCACACCATATGGACTTCAGTAGCTTGAATCCCTTTGTAAAAGGTAGGAAATATGAAGGGAACATAGTGCTTTCGTTAAAGATGAAATGAATAAGTATGCATCACATATAGACAACCGGAGAACATGGATGCAGGACATCATTGGATCTGATTTGGTGACAGGCCTGTAGTGTCAGCGCCAAGCCGCAAACCGTCAAGTGATTACGCTCGTTTATCAGCTTGTGGGTCAGCCAATCACAGATGTCTTAGACTGCTATTGGCCAAGCAGTTGAACATGCGGCCAGTGTTTAGCTTTCGCATGACGTTTATTCACTCACGTTCGCAGCACACTAGCAGACAGACGCGCGAGCAGGGTTTCAGACCACCACTGAGTTCCGTACACAATACACAACTACTACTAGTCTTACCCCTCTTCTTCCTCCACAAAACAGGGCGTCATAATTGTAGTGCTTTGAGAAGACTCATGACTTAGACTCCTACAGGCTCCCTACCTTGTGAGT